GATTCAATCGAATTTTGCGGTCTACGTATAACCAATGTCGAACCTGCGTTTAATCTTTATATATGCTATAGATCCCCCGGTAATACTATGAGCCAACAAGAATGGGATCTACTATTTTCTAACTTTGACCTTAGATGTAACAACATACTCGTAGGAGATTTTAACTCACACCATGAAATTTGGAATTGCAACAAATCTGATTCTAATGGCAAAAATCTTTTAGAATCAATTAAAAAATCGAATTTCTTTATTCACAACACCGACACTATTACACATATTGATACCACTTCCAAATCCAATATTGACCTCATAATAACAAGCAATAAAATTAGAGACATGGTAGAAACACAGGCTCATACTGATACCGTGGGATCCGATCACTACCCGATACATATACAAGTCAATTCCCAAAAAATGACTTACCATCAAAAAAATTTCAAAATCAGATCATCTCGCACCGACTGGCAAAAAGTCAATGAAGAACTTAATGAAGCTTTCTCTGTATTTCTCACTCCAGAGTATAACGATCTTTCTCCCAACGAGAAATATAACTTTTATGTTAAAATCATCTCTGATTCAGTTAAGAAAAATACTCCTATCAAAAAATTTGTTAACATTAAATTCCATCGCAACCCCGTTGCCTGGTGGGATAACGAATGCAAAGAAATCAGAGACTCCAGGAATAAAGCTTTTAAAAAATGGGAGAGAACACAAGACACTACTGATTTTACTGAATTTAAAAGGCTTAGAGCAATCGCGTGTAAAACCTTTAAAAATAAAAAAAGACAAAGCTTTATAAAATTCGCAGAAAGTCTCAATTGTCACACAAACATAAAATATGTTTGGAATACTTCAAAAATCCTTAAAAACAAGTGGGTGAAAGTTACTCCATCTCATATGTCTGAAAACCTGCAAATTGAAAATAAAACGAAGGCTATAAATAAAATATGCCCACCGTGGGTTCCTACCAAACCCGATTATTTCCCAAAGTGTCAGAAGAATAATTTTCTCGAAAGTGAGTTTACTCTCGCCGAACTGAATTTAGCTTTAGACTCACGTAATTTCGACTCCTCTCCAGGCATTGATGGTATCGATTACCACATAATTTATAATCTCCCTTTAAAATACAAACTTCTTCTAGTTGATACTTACAATGAAATGTTCCGACTTAGCCACTTCCCAGAAGACTGGAAAAAATCATATGTTCATTTGATCTCCAAATCGGATGGAATTAACTTTCGCCCCATTTCCCTTACTTCCGCCTTTTGTAAATTATTCGAGAATATCATTAAAAATAAAATGCAGTGGTGGATCGAGCGAGAGAATGTACTACCTAACTCACAATCCGGATTTAGAAAAGGCCAGTCTTGCTCTGACAACTTAACGAATCTCACTATCAAAATACAAGAATCTTTTAAAAAGAACATAAACTTGTACGCTGCTTTTCTTGACGTTAGTGGTGCATTCGACAATGTAAACAGCGACCTACTCATCAAAAAATTAGCGGAGATAGGATGTCCTTACAAGCTTGTAAAGTTTATTAAATTTCTTACTTACGAAAGACATATTTATTCCAGCCTGGAAGATCAATGTTATCTTACATATAAAGGTGTGCCACAAGGAGGAGTTCTAAGTCCTCTTCTTTACTTAATTTACGTCTCCAGTATTGCGAATAAAATACCCAGAACAGTCTCTGCATACCAATTCGCAGACGACATCGCACTCTGCTCGAACAACGTAAATTCCTTACCCAAAACAATCAATTTCATAGACGCCAATCTTTCGCTTCTAGGCTTAGACCTCGCTCCGCATAAAACTGTCTTTATTGTTTTCAATAGAAATGGCATCCTCCCTGGCCAAACTAAACTTGCAATTAACGACGAATGCACCATCAAATCAAGCGAAACGGCAAAATTTCTAGGCGTCATCTTCGATTATTCTCTTTCCTTTAAACAGCAAATAAGTAGCCTCCTAAATAGATGCCATAGGGCCCTAAACATTCTGAGGTATCTACAAGGCATTTGGTGGGGTGGACACCCTAAAGTACTACTGATTTTTTATAAGAGCTTTGTGCGCTCAATAATAGACTATAACAGTTTTGTATATTATCCTACTAGGGAAGAACTGAGTAACAAGCTAGAAAAAATCCAATATGCCGCTATCCGCGCAGCCCTAGGCTTTCGCAAAACTACCCCCACCAATGTCTTACTTGCTGAATCTAAGTTGCCCTCCATTAGGGAAAGAGCTAAATTTTTATGCTATTCGTTTTTATCCAAAATTATAACTAACGAAGATCTATTGGTTCATAAAAACGTTAAGCGATACTACAATAACACCCTTAAAAAATCAAAGAGAAAGCGTAACAGACTGTTCGAGGATTGCATTATAGAACTCTACAAATCGCAAATGCCTCTTATCAAATCTAATATGTACCAAATCTATAAATGCGAATATGCAACTCTGATCACTTCCATGCCGATCGACGTAGAAATAGGCAAAACTCTCAAACGATCGTCTAATCCGACCTTAAAACTGCGAGAACTTAACTCGGATTCTACGATTATTGAAATATTTACTGACGGAAGTAAAGACAGAGAAAATAAATACGCGAGTTCTGCTTGTCATTGCCCGTCTCTAGACATTAGCGTTGTCAGAAGGCTTCATAGATACACGTCTATATACACAGCAGAGATCATTGCCATCAATGACGCCATGGATATGGCCTTAGCGCACAAAGACAAAAATGTTTGCATTCACTCGGACTCCTTAGGAGCACTGCAAAGTCTAAATAATCCTGAAATCGATATTAGAGTTAACCCCTATATCCTACAAATCAAAGATAAGTATCTAAAATTCTTAAAAGAAAATAAAGGCCAATATACGATTAAATTATGTTGGATTCCCTCTCACTCTGGCATTGAGGGCAACGAACTCGCTGACTCTCTAGCCAAAGACGCCGAAAACAACCCTAACGCTCTGGAAAATCTTAACATTCCTTTCACAGATCTGAAAGAAAAATACAAAAAAAATATGCGCGATAACACGAGAGAAAAAATTCTAACTACATCCCTAGATAAAGGTAAAATGTATTTCCAAATATGTTATAAGGATTCCTCTCACTCGTGGTTTCACAAGTTAAGCCTTTCCAGAAAGCTCATAGCTACCATCAACCGCTGTCGAGCAGATCACTACAACTTAGCAGCGTCATTGGCTAGAGTTAATTTAACTGACGATCCTATGTGCGCTTGTCAAGAATTCCCTCAGGACCTTGATCACATTATTTGGCAATGCTCTCTGCTAAATGACCACAGACAACAGTTGACAAGACAGATTATAAAATTAGGTTTTCAATTGCCAATGAAAATGTCTCTAATATTTGCCGAACCCAATGTACCAGCGTCAAAATGCATACTTGAATTCCTTGACAAATGTAATATTAAACTGTAAGTCAATCTCTCAATGTAAATACTTGTAAACCTAATTCTCCACCTTCTCACTAGCTAACATAACTCAATATTTCACATTCCGTATGAACTATGTATTGTAAATAAATCTATAATATAGATTTGAAGCAATTAAAATAATAAAAAAAAAAAAAAAAAAAAGCAACGCGATAATCGCGATGTCGACTTGGTCTTCCAATGAAATTTTTTTTCGAGAAAAACAACCCGTCGATGTCTAACACTGAAAAGACGTGATAAATTCACGAAACAATGAGAAATACGCGTACAAAAGATGACAAAACGGAAAACGACACACGAATGCACAGCACGCGCATGACAGCTGGCTTCTTCCTCCTCGATGCAGAAGATAGTCTGTCAAAGTTAATAAAATAAATGCCCATACTCGTCCGTGATCTTCAACACAACGGCTTTATACAACACGCCGGATCAATAATTCTTACTCGCGGATATTCGCGGCAACGTGTAATTTTAGCTCTTGACAATCGCGCTATACGTTGTTAATTTCTTTTTACTCGCGAATCATTTCCGTGATGTGTGGTTTTAACCAAGAGAGCGCTATAATCGAACGACCTACGGTCTTAGATTTCGGCATATTGAAGTGCAAAGCAGTTTAATTAAGTATTCAAGGTGACTTGTTCGCAAGCAGAAATTTTATTGAATACAGCAAAACTTTCAATTCCCAAAAACCTTGAAAGAAAGGCCCAATAACTTGATGCTAGTGGTAAATTGTCCCACGCAGTTGTGTACCGAAGAGGCTTGTACATATGCCATGATTCGCGAACTTGCATATGAACTTATTCCCAAAAAAAAACCGTGAAATCCATGTAGATACTTATTAGAAACTTATAATTATAGGTATTTTTTCTTATTGATTAGAAGTTAAGAATTGTAATATGTCTATAATCGTTCTCTTATTACTTGAACGCTGGTAAGGTACACAAAGGTGAAATCGAATTTTATTTTATATAAAATTCACAAGGTATTCGGCGTATTCGGTTAAAATTAAATTGTTATCGCGGACAATGGCTCGTCGAAAGAATTTGAAAAGGCTTCTACGAGTGATTTTGTTATTTCCTTTTGCACGTACGTCAAACAAATGAAAAGTCTATCATAGAAAACATTTCCAACGTTAACGTAACAGACGTGCAGTTTAGAGAAAAAATACAGGGAAAGTGTCTGGTCGAAAAACGTGCTCATCGAGCCAATATCTTTCGCTTACTCAGCTGACATTCCTCGGAACAAACGGCAATGTGCTCGAGTAATTATCAAAATTTTCTATCCGAGCGAAATGTATTCGGTATTTTCTTTTGTATTTTTTGATTTCTCTTTTTTTTTAATGTCTTTTCTTTATTAGCGTAACTATTTTTTGTTCTTTATGGTTTTGTGAAAAAGGTCATTTTTCATAGTTACTTCCGTCATATTAAATTCACCATTACAACGAATTGAATAGACGCGAGCGCGGCACTAACGAGGTATCGGCAAGGTTTTATAGTCCGTCTTGACGCGTCGAGTAAATGGCTGTGATGTTTATTTCAGCGAGCAGCAGGACGACGGAGCTACAAAGAGATCGAGTCCTCCACATGCGGGCATGTCCGTGCCAGCTGAGGATCGGACGGGCACCCAGAAAAAAGATCAGCAGTCCGTAGAGTCGGCGAAGAGGTCGCCAATGAAGCGATTCACGATGAACAACAGGGCCGGCGAGCGAGAACCCCCGGCCAACAAGAAGAAGCTAAGCTTTCTTAGTTTTGGCAATCGTCGAGGTGCAGCGGTGAGTTTTTGCGCGACCGCCAATTTCTATTTTTTCAATGACTCACTCTTGAAATATTCACTCCTCGAATTGTTGGTTCGGTAGCATTCGGCACGCGCTGCCATTTTCCCCTCTCTTTCCCTCTTTCTCGAAGATGTTCTCTCTTTTTGTTCCATCGGGTTGATTAAGCAGCAAGGCCCAGCGACGTAGAAGAAAAAAAAATAGAGGCGAACTTTCTTGTTTACCACAGCCAATCGAGTGTCGTAGACGAGGCATCACTTCTCTCTGTTATTTTCAATAAAAACACGAAGTAACAATGATGCCCAGCGCACAATCAGGTCAATGCTGACGACCGCTTTTCCAAGATAAATTGGCATCGAAGAATGAGAAACAAAAATGTTGTTGCGATTGAAATTCAATGCAACCTTCTCTCTTTCATCTCGATAGCATCGGGATCCACTCAATGCCATTGAGGAAGACTGATTTCGCATTGTCGATCCCCCGGCAGTAGAGCACTGACTGAATAATTGAGAAGCGCTCGACAACGGGATTCATCCTTTCGTGGAACTTCATAGTATATAGCGAAATAGGAAGCGAAAGAATAAACACGAGATTTCTGTTGGGACGTGCACGTGCCGACAATGTCGAGTGTGTCCGCGTGGCGTGTGTTTATCGACTTCGGCGCGCTTTGGCAATCAGGCCAATCGCTCTGAGGCTGCGTTTTCTTAAACTTTCCTTTCGAGAGACTGTTCTTTCTGGTCTTACGTAAAGACAGCGTTCTTGATGCGTCCGCTTCTGTTGATTTTTCACGCGATAATTAACACAATGCGATGCTAGCAGCCAGCTAAAATCAGCAGTAATGCATTTCTAATTAAGCTTGTAATAGCTGTCGTTGCAGCGTTTCTCGTAATTTTACTAGTTGCACTTGACGTACTGATTAAGAAAGTTACGAGCAGCTTCGCTTGATTGGATTAGCAAGAGGACGGTTTCCTTTTTTAAAACTTCTTGATTAAAACTGTATCCTGTACCCGCGAGCGCTGAGATGCAGTGTGGACTGCTCGCTGTTGCGTTTTATGCCGTTCGATTCGTCGATATAATTGCGTAAAAAATCACGAAACAATTCATTTGTTGAAATAGAGATTCATTGCTTTCCAGCGTCGCCCGAGTTAGAACGAAAAGCCATTAAGACCGACGGTGTCAAGGACGAAATCCGGATATCCGATCGAAAACGATGCAATTGCGAAAAATTGCATCTCTCGAGAAATATCATCCTTCCTTATATTTCAATAACATTCTTTCTTATATTTCAAATCGTCAGGCGCTATTCCTTTACAATTCTTCCGAATAATCAGTTTTGGACGCTACAAATCAGCTTCATCATAATTCGTCAACTTTATAAACCGTACAAGTTTTCCAAGATCCGACTGCTCTCTATCCGGTGATAAAAATAGATTGAACTGCCAATAGAACCCCTCTAAATTTGGCCACGCGATGGGTCGTCTCGTTCGAATTGACGTCTATAAAGACATTTTTCACGATTTATCCATCGTTCAACGTGGTATCGACGGACAAAGACCCGGACGATTTACTTAATTCAAATTCGCGTCAATTCGTACGATCGCGTGACAATTAAGCACAAGTTGCAACGATCATCTGCGCAAAATGACAGCCGATAGAGCCCCGCTGTGTTCGCGCACACCTTCGAATTGAAAAGCTCTATCAGAAAAGCTCGAACAATCGATCGATTGATCGCCGACTTGCGACATGATTAAAGGAAAATTGCGGCGGCGGGACGCGAATCACGCAAAAAGAAAAGAAGAAAAAAAAAAGGAGAAACTTACAAAAAGCCCAATCGCAAGTGCGATAATCCGCAGACGAGTAGTGGCGGCGGCTGAAGCAGCAGCAGCAGCAGCAGCAGCAGCTGCAACTTATGCAACGCACGTCGTCGTTTCACGGAAGCCATCGCGCAAATTCGATTACGAGACCAGTGTCAAACGGTCCTGGTTGGAACGGCAGATTATCGGCGCGGCGGCCTATACACCACCCGCAGTCGTCGGCGCCAGTTTACTGCCTCGCTTTAAATGCACGCCAGCGAAGACCAGCTTGCGAATCGAGGGAGTCGAGCCCCTAATAAGCTGCGCCGACAGGTGATTTTTCTTTAATTCTCTGACGTTTCGCGATTGACACCGCGCTCGTCGCTTGCACTCCCGACCAGAGAGAGAGAGAGAGAGAGAGAGAGAGAGAGAGAGAGAGAGAGAGCGTGTCTCGCTGACATCGCTCGACGCCTCATTTCCAAATGTCCCAGCGAGTGTAGATCCGTTTTGATTACATTATTCCGCGTTGCATGCTTGCTCAGTTAATTGCTATTTACTGCTTGGCGAAGCTCTCTAGATGACGAAAGCATAGGTATATGAAAATTTTATAGGTCAGCTATTTAGGACACAACAATGTCAACTATAGAGCTGATATTCGAAGCTGTAGGTAGTTCTCAAGGTAGCTCATCGTGTCGGAGCTCGTTAATTGACAGAAGATTTACTTGATTACTTAGTGACAACTTGTGCAGATCGCTTTGTCCAGTGTATATTTACACGCTTTATAACACAAAATAATAAACGAAATGAGAAACGCAAGCACTTCGAGAGATGCACTTGCATGATAAACAATATTCCGATGAATGACGCGAACAACGGGCGTTTAGACGTTCTCGGCCGGTCGGGCCGACGACTCACGTGTGACGTGCAGTCTTCAGCGAAGCGACAAGTCCATTGCATTTCCTCCAGCGCTTCAGCCTTCAATCCAAAGGACGTGCGCAACGACTCCAGAAGGCTTAGAATCTCTTTCGCGCGAGTACACGACGAAATCGATCGCTCGCGCAATCAATTTCAATTTCCCGCAGCGAAGAAAGTTTGAGCCACCGCTTCTCCAAAATGAGTATATTTACGGGCGCTCCGCGCAAAACTGCCGCGGCTCTGTGAACCCTGGTTTCAGCGGCTTCCAAGCGCTCGTGACACGGCTGACTAATCGACGACGAAAAAGAACTTTGCGTGATTAGCGCAGAACACGAGCCTACCTGCCGACGCGGTTATTAAATGCCTCTGATCGATATGAACGCCAAATTGCTTCTATGACAGACACGAGGAGCTCAATTATCTACCTGCTCGTGTGACGCATTCCAAGTATTTGATCCTCATAAAGCTTTTGTTTTGTTTCTTTTATTTTTTTTTCTTTCTGTCGTGCTGCATTATCGAGCTTGAATTACTTTGAGGACTTTCGGAACTTTAACTGCCTATTGAATAACTAAAATAACGTAATATATACTCGGTTTTTTGTTTCTTTTTATATTGTGTAACTCGACGTCAATAGTTTAATTTGGTAATCATTGAAAATTGAACAATTTTTGGGGTCACGTTATTTACAAAAAAATATACAACGTTCGCATGAACGCAGAGACGATGCACGTAATTTTTTCGACCGACTGCAGATGCAATTATATCGAATAAAAAGTGGTAAAACGTCTAGAGTTCGACATTCAATGGTGAAATTAGCGCGGGCAGCGAGAAGAAGGAGCGCGCTTACGAATCGATGCGCGGAGAGAGTTTTGGCGCAGGCGATTTTCTGGTTCAACCAGGCACGAAGCGACAAGCTAGCGATTCTAGTTCAAGGTCTCGGCGGCTTTCCTCCTCCCGAAAATCCAAAGAGCGCGCGCAACCCCCGCGACATATAGAACGAGAGTAGGAAAATTGGGAATTTGTAGGATCGATCGGCTCCCTTCCCCTGCCGGCCGGGCTACGTACTTAATACTTAATCGCGAGCGTTTTCCAGTCGGAGTTGGATTATAAAAATAGATAGCGCGTCTTGCTTGAATTTCCACCACGACCGGCAGGGCTTTTATTTCAACGAGCACGTCTTTCTCTACTCGTAGCCGGCGCCTTTGCTCAGGGCTTTTGTCAATTATATCAGGTTGCATGGCTGCTGATATTTTTAGATCGAGCGATGCAGCTCGCGCTTGCTCTTTGTGAAAGCTCCGTCGCGCGCGCTCTCGTTGTCCAACTTTGCCCGACGTTTCGTTCGAACGTTTTTTTTTTTTTGTTTTTTTTTTCATCTGACGAGCGAGCTATTTCCATATGAATCCGGTCAATAGGGAAAATCCAGAGGGAGCACCGTCATTTTTGGTATCGACTGTGCCAAAATTTTCGAAAGCACCCGTCCGAGATAACGATTCTCGACTGAAACAGAATGTCCGAATCTTGACACTTGGCGATCGATCTAAACTGTCGAGTTCCTAAGCGTCGCGTGCTCGGTTTTCCGACTGTGACCGCAAACGGATTAAGCTTGGACGGCTGATAATAGTCGGGTAGCGGTGAAAGCTCGTTAAAGCTATTCATTGGGACTTCGCTGCTCTTCAATAGTAAAACAAAATGCTAAGTTGCACTTTCCTCGGGGATTTCACGATTGAAGTAGCTTTCAGATAATAAGTTTCATTATCTGTGAAGTCATAGAAACAATTTGAATATATTTTAATGCGTTGCAAGTGCTATTGCTTATCGTTAAAATTATAGTTGTCTTGTGTTGTTCAGATAGAGAACATCTAATGAATGTCAAATAACAACCGTTGAGGATACCGCGTTATATAGTTCACTGAAAAACTCGTTGGTGTATTCAAATTTTTTAACTACCCAGGAAAATTGGAGAATTTCGCTGCGGGGAAATGGAACTCGTATAAGCTCGGTTCGGTGCTTCTCACTTGTCAATTTAATTTCAGCCCCTCGCCTACAAAAGCGCAGAGAGGAAATATATAGCATCATCTCGCGTTGGATATTGCGTCAGACGCAGCTGTTATAATAGTATCAACTTTAGCGACCGATTGCTTTCGTTGAAAAACTCATGCGGTCGGTGCTATGTCACTTCTGCCAACGGGAAATTTCACATCGTTGGCGTCGGTTGGCGTCACATCGTCGACTGGAAATTGAACGGAACCTGGGACTTTCATCGATCTACTTATTGACTGGGACAACTACAAG